TATATATATATATATATATATATATATATGTATATATATATATATATATACATATATATACATACATATACATATATATGGACCTAACTGTGTGTTGTGTATTTATTTATACATGTGTATATATAAATATATTCAGTACACACACATATATGTAAACAGACTTTTAATTTGGATGTGATTAATCACGATTAATCGATTTGACAGCCCTAATAAGTAATTTATTTCCTTTTTGTATTAATTTATAGCTCATATGTTGGTATAAACTCATTATTTCTGAAGTCCTACAGTAATTTTTGCATCAAAACACAGAACAATATTCAGAGCTGAGTAGATTACTTACCATTTGTAGTCCATTACTGATTGCTGATTACATATTACATGTTAAAAACTGCATTTAGTAACGTAATCTAGGTTACTCATTTAATGTAATGTATTCAGACTACTTTTTAGATTACTTTTATCTAACTTGTTTTAAACCTAACATTAAATGTATTATATTGATATAAAAAGCAAAGAGAGAAAATATATTCCCTTTTTTTTTATTATTAACATCATTAAATTCATTAAACGTTACATAAAACCAGGGTTTCCCAAACTGGGTTTAATGTAAGAACTTTACATTAAGGGTTTGCGAGGTGATAAAAAGTTAGTAATTAAATAAATCATAAAAATTTAAAATAAATGTTTTAAACACTTGAACACTAAAAATAGAAATATTTAATTTGTTTAACTGAATGTTAATATGACCATTAAGCCACATCAAACTGTGAACATGCGAATGTGTTGTTAAATGATTGAAATATTATCTTTTTCAGCGACATTTCATGTAAATATGTAATGTCAAATGTTTTCATGTTTGGTTGAAAAAAACATTTGGGAATCCCTGCATTACATGAACAAACATGAAAACAGCAATGACATTACCCACCCAAAAGTCTTTCAGGTTTCAAAATTTTAGTCCAGACTTCCAGAATCAACAGTTACTGAAGATTGCTGGATATGATGAACACATAGAGTTTAACATAGTGCGTGAGGAGTGTTTTTTTTTTTACCCAAATTCAGATGCATGGTTTACAAATTTATTTACATGACATTTACACAACCATTCTATATTGTGAATATAGTCAAAGCTAAATGGCATGACACACAGTGGGATTTTTAGAAAGGAAAATTTAAAATAAAATAAAAAAGAATTAGGGAGAATCAATAAATTATGAATGATTTACTGCCCTTGTGTGAATATGTAATCATCATGTAATCCATAAAAAAGTAACTGTAATCTGATTATGAGCATTATAAAATGTAATATACTCTAATCACGAGTACTTGATTTTTGGAATCTGATTTTGTAATCCAGTTCAGTTATTACCCATCTCTGACAATAGTAAAGATTTAAAAAAAAAAAGAAAAAGAAAAACAGGACACGCTTATCTTGAACACTTTTCAAACCTTTAGCATTTCAAAATCTCAAAACTACAGGAGTAAGTGTAAGTTTTACTGTGTTGTGTGTAAATGACTTACCAGAGAAGAGAGTTGAAGACGACAGAAATTCTGAATGAATGGAGAACTGTGTGTGAAAATGGCACAGTTTAACTTGTATTAGAGATTCACCACTTCTCCTTTAGTCAGAACTTTAGTGACAGTAGCCTGACTGAGAAATCTATGCAAATTAGTATGAAGCTTTCTGAATATTCAACACATTTCCTTATATTTGCTTGAAACAAATCACTGTCTTGTGAGATCCAGTGTTCAGTGCTCATGTTGATAATAATTCTCAATGCTCAGGAATACGTTGAATTGTATTAAAACTGCAATTTGAGAACACTATGTACAGGAAACATGCATTTTATTTCTTCTCGACTTTTGCATTTCAGATTTGAGATATTACATGTCAACATTGTATTACGGTAACACTTCTCATGTTCTGAATTCTGTTTTACGGTGTACTTCAAATAAGGAATGTGGGACATTGAGGACTAAATAGTCAGCAAGCATGTTTTATTGCCCAAAATACTGACAGAAGCTGAAAGCAGAAGAGATTTCAGCAAAATACTGCTGTCTGTATGTAATACTGTGTCTGTGAAGTCAGCAATTCGAGCTGCTCACTTCTACAGCTATATACTTACGCCTGTATAGTAAGTGTAATACTGTAAACATTTACATTTATTCATTTGGCAGATTCATCATAGAGGCAATAAACACGAGAATAGCTAGTAGCCTACAAAATTTTAGATATTAGAATGGGGAAGAATTAAGGAAAAGTAGAGTATCGAAGTATAGAGGAAGGATTTTTTTTCTCTTTTTCTTCTTTTACAAACTGAGAGACTTTCTCAGTTTGTAAAAGTTTGTGGCAGTCACAGTTTGTGAAGTTCAGATCAGAGATTCCTTAGCCCCCAGGAAGCCCTCACTATGCCCACACAGGACCCGCACTATTAATCTACAACAATACATCTGTTTCACTTCAAATACTTTCCAGCTATTGTAAAGTGAACACTCGATGCTGATTGGCTCTTTTTTTTTTTTTACCAACGGAGGCATGAGAGCTCAGCTCTCCCCCGGCCTCCCCCTCCCCTTCTCTATCACCTAGCGGTTGTAATTACATCAGCAGATTCTTCAGAAGCTGACACTTTTGGGGACTCCCTTCCTTCCTAAACCTATCTGAAATCTTATTGCACAACGCCAGTGAAGTTGCAACTCTCACTGGCCAATGCCAGCCAAGACGGCGAATGGGGCGGGGCCCTTGCCGCTATTTAATGCGCCGTCTTGGCGGCATAAGCTCAGAATCTTCTGACTAAACCAACAGCGCAGCAGACCTGAGCAGTGAACACGGCAGCCTACGCCATGTCTCGTTCCCGTCTCTCAGGGAACCGAGGTTACGACAGTAACCGGAGACGTTCCCTCTCGAGGACGGTCTCTCGACATGGCGTCAGAAGCTGACACTTTTGGGGACTGTATAGAACAACGCTATGGGAACAGCGAAGAAAAAAGCTCAGCCTTGCGGAGTTAACATGAACAGTTCTTGCAAAGACAAGAATAATAATCCACCAACCAATCATAGACAACCTTACGACATGCCCCAAGGAGATTGGATGTAGATTTGACGTTCGATCGGTCGGTCGGTCATTCGAACGTTTGATTTTAGCATGGAGTACGCTTCATATGTTTCTCTGTTCACGCTCCACTTCATCTGCCAGTGAATTCAACGATCTTATCAGATCTCCAGCCGCCATGTTTCAAACGATCCAAACGTAACACGCTTCCGCCAATCCCCGCCTTGAAGCAATGATTGACGGAGGGTGGGCGTGGTCAGCTCGGAATGCATTTTCAAAGCCGCACTAAATTTTGCTACAAATATACCACGGCGTCGTGATGAAAATGCAATCCTAAGTGTTCTAACAAATAGCATTTAAATGATCATTTTGCTACCATTTCTGCTTGGACATGTTACACATATCAAATCAATTTGTGTTATACATTTTCATTTTCATTTCGCAACTTATAAAGCGTTAAAATTTGCATGCAATTTACATCCCTGCAAACATGTCCCTGCGGGGCCCATGCTGGCTTTTTGTGGGCACAGTGGGCTAGGGCCAGCCCACACCAAACCTAAACAGGCCCAGGCTGGGCTTGCCCAGGTGAGGCCCACAGCTTTGGGCTCTCTGTGAGCAGGCCACACTAGCGGACTGTCCACATTAATCCTATGATGGCCCAGTGTGGGCCAGCCCGTTCGGGCCCAGAGCAACTTTTGTATCCTTTGGGCCCATGCAAGTTTTGTGTAGGCAGCCCAGTAATGCAACTAGGAGAATACAAACAACATTGACTGGCCATTCTTTAGCCACTCAATTGAAGTGGAATGGCACAAACCAAAAGAGACCTTTTCAGAATCTGTTTCATACAGGCCAGTGATCCTCAAATCTGGCTCACGAGATCCACTTTCCTGCAGAGTTTAGTTCTAACCTTAATCAAACACACCTGAGCATGCTGATCAATGTCTTCATGATCATTAGAAAATCACAGTTGGGTGAGTTTGATCAAAGTTGGAGCTAAACTCTGCAGGAAAGTGGATCTCACGAGCCATATTTGAGGTGTAACAGACACGAGCCTATTAATAAGAATTTTGTGAGCAGTTTTCTTCCTTACCACTAGGGGTGCTAGAGTGTTTTAGGTTTCCTTAAGTAAAGCCATGTGGGTAGGGGGAGTTAGCAATGACAAGCAGCAGTAGCCAGCATGGCTCACCTGCTGAGCACATTGTGCTGTGTCCTGGTTGGGAAATGTGTCATTTCAAGCCCAGTCTAAAGTAAGGAGTTGTGTTTTTTTTTTGTTTTTTTTATAAAGTGTTCATTGCGGATGATTTTTGCAGAGATGTTACATGTATGTATGGGCTATGTTTGGATTGAAGCTAAGAGTTTAAGACCGTGTATTTGTATTCATTTTAGAAGGACTGTTTATTGGTGAGAACACCACATCATGGTCCAGTCTGAATATGGATTTAAAGTTCTTTTCGACGTGGGACCATAGTCTGGACTATTTTTGACTGTTCCTGGTTAGGAAGAGTCTGGTGTTTGAGAGCGGTTGGATTATTCATTTGCTATCAGCCAACTTCAGCTATGGACAGTGTTTGGACATTGATGTACTACAGATAAGACTTTCGCACACATCAACTTTCACATGATGAAATCCTACAGTCTTACATTGCTTTGTTTTGTTTTTTGTTTACTTTTGTGTATTTACATTTTTGGCTATATGTAGCTGTATTAACCTGAACTGAATGTTTTCTGTTTTGTATTTAATATAAATTGATTTGAAATCCCTTTTGACTACTGTACATTTTTGACAATACAGACATTAGTTATGTGGTGACTGCATCCATTTCAGATGTATAATAACTGTTTTTTTCCCAAAGACTTAAGTTATAGTAGCTGGAAAGTATTTAAAGTGAATCAGATTTATTGTTGTAGATTAATAGTGCGGGCCCTGTGTGGGCATATTGAGGGCTTCCTGGGGGCTAAGTGAGGGCTGCCCATGCAGGGCCAGTGCTAAGGGGCCAACGTTTTGCTGGGGGGCCCTAAGGCTAGCCCTAAGTGGGCCTGTAAAGGGCCAGTGCAAGCTTGTTTGCAGGGATGTCAAGTTGAAGTAATTTAAACATGCTTTTGTGGTTTTTTTGCAACTTCTTAGTAGTGTCTTTTCAGTGATGAAAGTCATATTTTGACTGTGTGGAAGAATATACTTTTGTTTCATGCTTTTATTGTAAATTTGCAACTTTTTCGTGTCTATTTGCATTTATTTTCACCGTAAACAGCGCACTTTACATTAAAATGCAATGCAATCTGGAGTATTGTTACTGTATGTGTTTG